GGTATTATTTTTTGTGGTTTGAACCAAATAACATTCTCTAAATTGTTGGTTCAAACAATTTTTTAATTCACAATATTAATATATTTGAACACCCAAATTTTTGTTGTTTGATCGTCAACCGCATGTTGAATGGCGATAAAGCCATTCTTAAAGAAACAGTGTGACCTTTCCAAAAGTATACGTACATAGCCTTTACAAGCATATTTAATACGATAGTATAATAATTAAAAGTACTCCCTCCGTCCCTAAATTATCTTCAAACTTTCCTTTTTCGTCCGTCCCAAAATTATCTTCTCTTCCCCCTTTTAGCAAAAAATTTGTGGTTCACAACCATTCTTACATATTTCTCTCTCCTCTGCACAACTCTCCACCACACAAATCTCACTACATTAATAAATGTGCTCAGCCGAAAAGGGAGAAAGATTAGAGACGGAGGGAGTAGTTCTTATCCAAAAAGGCATGTGGTGCAAAACTTTTTAAACTAGTACGTAGTATACTTTAATAAAAGAAAGACCATGTACGTATTACTTTAATACGGAGTAGTATGTATATTATTATAATCATTATATTTAAATAACATCATCTTAATAATTCACATCATTTATTTATAAAATGATTAAGGACCGTGTAATATAACAATTGAACTTTATTTCAATAAATCTCCAACAGTATATGACCCAGATAATTGCAAATTATCAATCTAAGACCTTTTTTTTTAATATTATATACTTATGAAATTGTTTAACTTTATTAAACTGAGAAATTAAACCTTTGTGAGTAGAATATCACCAAAAGTTAGCATAAACTAAAGGGAAAATTCCCGAAATAGGAGTAAAAAAGTTTGAAAATTCCTAAATAGGACTGTCATGTTTTTATTCCCAAAATAGCAGTAATTACTGTCAAGTTTGGAAAATACTGCCATGTTTAAAGTCTGGTACTGCCAAAACATGGCAGTAATTAATCCTATTTTGGGAATAAACATATGATAGTCCTATTTTGGAATATACAAACATTTTTAGTCCTATTTTGGATAATTTCTCTAAACTAAATAAAAAGTAAAGAAATTAAAATATTTATATTTTAGGTCTTTGATTGATGTTTTCAATCATTCATGTTTTGTATAAAAAACTTTCATCATTGAGATCCTTGATTGAGTATTAGCCTATATTTCCAGTACTGGATCAATTAATAACAATTATTTATTAAACATTCTACTTTAGATTTTGTGTGATGAATTGTGTAATAATCAAACTAAGTAAAGGTAAAGACACTAATTTGACTTAATAAATTGAATTTATTGAAGTGAACAATTTTATCTTTTTCATGTATTTTTTTGAAATTTTATTTTAAATATATATTTCAAAAAAATTGGTAAAACTATGTCTTTCCTCCTTGCCTTCTTTTTCCACTTCTTAATTTGATTAAGGTGATATTCATACTAATAATCCGTACTTTTAGCAGTTCTACAATAACAATCCCTACTAAACAAGTTAATATAAATAATCTATACCCACAAACACTTTCATATGAATAGATAAATTGAAATGGAGGTAATATTCTGTTTTATATTACCATCATCCCACCCCCGTATCCATTTCTCTTCTTCTTCTTCTACATACGTATGCCCCAGGCCATCTCCTTTGTTGGAGTCTGCAATCCTCTTATTTTTTCCTTTATCCATATCAAACAAACTTGATTGTTTCATATGAAGTTAATATCACTTTTAGCAATTCACTCCCTATCCTAATAATGGTGCAGCATATGGATTTGATTACCCATTTGTGAATACTAAACTGTATGATTGGAAAATTTATTAATTAGAATCCCTAATTTTAGAGGTAATGAATTCTTAAATTTAGAGGAGCAAAATTATTTTACTTCAAATACCAAAAAGTATAATATCTGTTTCAAAATGTAAAATGGAATTCCTATATATATACCCCGTATATATAGTGCTGCACGCATCCTTGTGAGATTCTTGTGGCTCCCCTCCTGAACAAGCAAAAATAATAGGTGAAGTTCAAAGCTCAATCAATTAGAATACTAAATCAAAATAAATCAAAATTAAGTGTTGGTTTAAGATAGAAAGATCTGTTAAAAGAGGGGAGAATGAGTTATGCAGTGTAGGCGAAGAGAGGAATGGGGGAATATGTAGAAGAAGAATGAAAAAACTTAAGCAGGGGTGGATGGTGAATCCTGAGGAAGGAACGTGAAATAAACGGCCGTTACCTTTGTTTCATTTAAACTAATTATGTGAATCAGTGAATGCATGTACAAGTTTGAATTATTTGTATGAATTGTCTCGGTAGAGATTATTATTGTAGAATCGCTAAATGTATGGATTATTAGTTTGAATTTTGCCGCCTTTGATTAACAGGTGCAGCGCTTGATCTTCTATACATTCAGTCAGACTATCATAATTGAGTCGTACGTAGTACATCTTATCTTCTATTGGAAAATTGAAGTAGATAAATATATTAAAATTATTTTTATAAAACTTTGAAGGAGTTATAAATCAGTAAATCAATATTCAAAAAAATCAGTAAAGCAAATTTATAATTGACCATAATGGAACATATGTTAATCTCCAACAAAAACAAAACATAAAATATTATCAATTAATAAAGAACTATAATCCTAAACAAAAGTACTACGAATATAAATGATGTGCGTGTATAAAACTTCAATAACGGGGTAAGGGTATTTATGCTATCAATAAATGAAGTACAGTGTTTTATTAAAACTGTACAAGATCTAATGCACATAAAAGAGAGACAATATAAGGATATTAACCCATATTCATATTTATAGGTTTTTTAGATTAGATTGGCCTACAGTATGTCGTGTGCCAAAGACACCTGAGATTACGGGTGTGTACATCCTACAACCGGTTATACAGTGTAAAACGTACAACAGTGTCATATTTGTAGTTTTAGTTGAAAATCACAACATTCTTCTTATAATTGAGCATCGAGCATCGCATATGTATTGAACATCAGGACTATTTTGCTGAGTCTTAGGAGTGTAATATTGAGTATCACAATCTCAGCTTTATATCTTCCAATTCACTTTCTTTTTATTTTTTTTCTTATAAAAGTTTCTTAAATTATACTCAACATCTATAAGCAACTCTTATAAATTCCAATATGCGAATCTATTTTAATACTATCGTATTATCTTTTTAAAATATGCGTTGTTATGAAAATCGTAAATTCTGCTAGTTGAACATAGAGCTGTTAATGAACCGATCTTTTATCGAACTATTCGAGTTTCATGTCCGATCTACCCGGTCCGGTCCCGATCCGATTCGGTCCCTTTTTAAAAAAAATATTGGAGAATAAAAAATGACGTATATTTATTATAAACACTACATTGTCACTTGTATCAATATCACATTTGAAAATTACAATTGAGAATACTTTAAAGTTGAAAATTACAATACTTGAACTAATCATCGTCGGCTCGTCGCCGCTTCCGACGTCGGTTGTCGTTTCCTCCATGAAATGGCAGACCGGTGCTATGTTGACTTCTTGTGTTTTACAGCGGACCTTCAACCAATCATGGAAGCAAATGAGTGTCTCGAGAGATGAAGCGCTCAACCTCGTTCTATAATCAGTCAAAACGTTACCGGCTTCGCTAAACTCTTGTTCCACGGCAACAGTTGATACCGACATCGACAACATTTGTTTGGCCATTTATGATAAAACCGGAAACATCCCTTCGTGCTTCTTCCACCATTGGAGAATATCAAAGTCTTCCGCTTCATTATACTCAACAGAAAACGTTAGATATAAAGAGAGCTCGTTAATCGAGCTTTGTCAATGGCAGGAGTTGATTTACTTTTTTTCAAAAGAGTAGATATTGTTGATTTAAAAAAACCCTCTTCCTTTAGATGAGGAAGCACTCGGTAATGGGGCACGGGGTGCATTACCATATTGTGCATGAAACTCATTAAATAAAATGTGAAATAGATTACTAACCTCGTTGTATTGGGCTTGAGGATCTATAGGTGTGTCTTCGTACATAGGGAATGTTACGATTATGGTTAAGTAAAACGATAAATTAAAGAGTTAGAACACAAGAATTTACGTGGTTCACACAATCGGGGTGATTATGCTAGTCCACGGCGAACGAGAGAGAGCAGTGTATTATTATGTCGGTGTCGCCAGGGTTTACAAGTACATAAGAGTCGTTTAAATAGGTCTTAGAAAACCTAATCACAAATTAAAGTCTTAGACCCGAAAATAATAAAGCTCGTACTAATTTTTCCTACATACCCAGTCGGGTACCCTCATGTACCCGGTCGGGTATCTGTCCAGAAAGCCTTTCACTCACGCTACCCCGTCTGGTAGCTAAGCGGATATCCTCCCCTGGTTCGGACTTCAACATACCCGGTCAGGTAAACCATATATACCCAACCGGGTATCACTTCCAGAGAGTTGCCCGAGTAAATTCATACTCATACCCGATCGGGTAACCCAATGTACTCGGTCGGGTAACTGCTCTAGCATTCAGAACAAGGCTACATTTTCAACAATCTCCCACTTGGAGGCTTGTTCAACAATCATCTGCCATCCAAGAACATGTATCCTCTGTAAAACCCTGATCTCTCTCTCGTTCACACCTTCTCATCAAATGTCTGGACCGGACCAGGACCGGTTGGCCGGTTTCGGTCTTTTATCCCGTTTGGGCGGGTCGGGCGGGCCAGGCTCGGGCCCAGTTTTGGGCGAACCGGCCCGGGCGGTTCGGGCCAGGCCCGGGTCATTTTTTTTTTCAATTTTTTTTCTTTTCCTAGGGTAGGGCTGGGTGTTTTAGGGAGGTTTGGGGGTGGGGTGAGGGGGGGGTCGGGGGATAACAAGAAAGCAAAAAAAAAAGACATTGAACTGGGCCCGGCCCGGCCCGGTTAGGCCCGGACCCGGTATCAACCCGGGCCGGTTCCGGGCCCAAGTATTTGCAAAAAAGCCCGCCCGGGCCCGGCCCAGAACTGGACCGGCCCGGGTCCATCCCTAATAATCAATATAAAAGTATGACAACCTTCAATTACATCGTTATACAACAAAACTTCAAGAATTGGAGAAAATCTGCCACTGTTATCATAGGACCCCATGTAAGAGGTCTCTTACGCTTGCTTATATATTACAACTACATAATTATTTGATTCTACATTCTAAACCTGGAGAATGATAACCTATAAAAACAAACAAACAATTACCAGAAATCCGGCAATGTATAGGAATATTTTCAGGAAAAACTTTGTCCCGTCCAGAGGTGATCCATGATAATAAAACCCGTGAGAATAGCCTCCGTGAAACGAACTTGAAAACAGGTAAGGAACTCCTGTTGTTGCCCCATAGACAGTGGCATCATGAAATCCGTTCACGTGAAGGTTTAAAAGGGAAGGAATGGCCCCAAAAAGAGAAGACAGTGTTAAGCTCCCAAGCCTCTCATTTGGCATTTGCATGAAATTCGCGACAGAGTCTATCTCGTTCTCTTGTCGGGAATAGTTTTGGATTTGAGGAACCAAACGCGTCCGAGGGTCAGAAGACGCTTTGCCTCTTCCATATATGGGAACCAATCTTTCCTCCTTTATGATGGCTTTGCAGACGGGGCATTCGTGAGAGCGTGAATGAACTTGAAGCCATTGGTAGAGACACGGCCAACAGTAAAGGTGGCCACAGAGTGTCACTATTGGGTCATGAGCCAAGTCAAAGCAGATATTGCATTCAAAATCACCCGACTCGTAGTTTATTGCACCATCAGCAAAATAGGTTGGGTCTAGTGATTCACTAGTCCCACTATTCATGTCCTACAAAGCCTCTAATCAAGCACCTGTCTTCCATGTAATAAGAAGAATATTGTTGAGTCTCTCAACCCACCAAAAAAATTTGAATCTGAAGATGAGGTATTCTTATTTAACCAATATAAGACAACCATCAATGTAACACCAGAGCAGAATGACAATAAGGCTTCTACAACATCGATCATGAAATGTAAAAATTGTAATGAAGAACAGTTTATTAGCATCATACTTTGCTGGCAATTTCATTCTTTACAAAAGTTTAATACATTAATGAGGGTAAAAGGAACTGAAATAATATTGCCCTCAACTCTAGTCCAATGAGCTTATCTGTATGGTCTAGCAGCATGTTATCCAATGCATTACTTACTGTTCTAATGCATATTTTGGTAAGATATATTGAGATGCAGTATAACTAAACGCATTTATGATAAATTATATTAGGGTCTCCTTGGATGGGGAGTTTGAGGTTTTTTAAGGGGAAGGTTTTGGAGGGCTAAATGGCTAATTCAATATCATGATATATATATTTGAGATTGAAAATTTTGAAATAATAAAATAATAGACAATCTAATTACATTCAATCACCATATATTTGTTAGCTTATCCCCAATAAAAAACTTCAACATTTGGGACAATTAGGGGTGGTTTGGTACGGTATACCGAATATTTTCTCTCATACCTTTGCCATATCAAAACTTTTGGTATAAAAAATTTACATACCGTTACCTTACCAAACCGATAGTGAAAATCGCATCTAGAATTGCATGGACTGACTACTACTACACAACAAAGAAGCGCATACGGTTAGTGAGCCATTTTGCTTTATTCCATCTTATTCTCAAGCCAAAAAAAGTGGGACTTTGGCTCCATTGCATATGATGGATTACTAAATTATGTAGCTGCTTGAACTAATTAATTTTCTCTTAGTTTTTCCTTCCTTTTTTCGTTGACAAATGATATTGTGATAGCTTGAAAATTATTATTACCTCTCCCAATTTGATGATCTTGTTCTTGTTTCTTATTCACTTGGTCAACATAAACCGATCTTAATCTCTTACTTTATATATCAAAACTTTATCAAATTTGATTTTTCTTTAGGCAACTGTGTAAAACTTTTAATGCATTTTCTGAATATGTAAATTTTATTTACTAAAAATAATTTGAGTGGGGACAGGGATCCGTTTCCTTTATCGTCGGTCAAACCTCGTAAACCGCAATCAGACCATCAAATGGCGACGAAGGGACTATATTTTTAAAAAACTTATAACGATAATACAATTTTAGACAATTAATTGGACAGTGAACTTCATGTCACCAACTCTAAATAAAAAACAGTAAAGCTTTTCAATATACACAAACAGGTGTAATGCAGTAGCAGGACCAAAAGGTCCAAACAAATGGTAGCTACCATATCCATTATTAGCAACACTTAAGTTTATATTAACTCTTTAAGCAACAGATCTAACCAGTCCGTTAAATCCAGGCCCACATAAACCACCTTAAACTAAAACTACAAAAAATAAAACTCATATATAGTAAAGACTACACAGTCATAAATATGCACGTAATTTATAATGAAAGGTTTCAAATTGATTACAATAAGGGGTTGGCAAAGTCCAGGTTCTGATCCGGAACGGCACCAAGAATGACCTGTTAAATATAAAGGACTTAGTGTTTTTAAAGGACTCTAAGATGTTTTTAATTGGATTAGTTTTAGTCCCAAACACGACTTAAATAGATCATGATCAGACTTAACTTAACCGGTCAAGACCAATTGAGACAAGACCACACTTAAACAGGTCGAACCATATCATACCAAAAAATTTCAGTTCAATTAAAGGCATCCTATCACCCGAATCTATACTAGTGTTCTGCATTATACCGGTACGATTTCTCCAAATGAGGACCAGATTGTTGGGTTTTTGTTTGGTTTCCCCTAAATTTTAATAGGACAGAGAACCAGAACAGAGCTGAATAGCACAGTGCCTCATGGGCTCATGGTTGTTCCGGTTAAGTATTTGGGGAACCGGAATCCAGAAAAGCTTATGTCGTCCCCACTTCCCACATCAAAACCAAAAGTAGGAGAGAACAGGTCCTTCCCTCCATAGTCCATACAACCAAACTTCGAATCCTTTAAATTGTAGCAGAACACAGAAAATATATACTATCTATATGGAACACCTTTTACGTTTTGAGCTCAATTTTGGGAAATAATAATCTATTCAAAGAAATGAAAATGATAAAAAACGAATCTCAACAAAAGAACAAGATAAAATATAGTCAGATCGAGTCATTATCGAAAATATATAAGGTATCAGCGCTAGAGAGTGAGAGATAGAATCTGACCTTGGTTGGGATCTAAAGAGGAGCAGTTGATACTAATCTGAAAGCGGAAACTCTTTGAGAGAGAGTGGAAAGGAGAAGACAAGAGAGATAAAAGTGGTTCAACAGAGTCAGCGCTATAGATCAGTTCCACAGAATGTAGCTAGTATATATGAGAGCTGGTTTCAAAGTTTCGAGGATGGAAGAAGAAGGAAAGAAGGAATGATGGATTGATGACTTTTTGTTACCCCCTGTCGTGTTTGTTCTTACTTGCCCATTTACTTCTTCTCAATATAACAACGGGAAAAGGAAAATTCTAACTTAGAGTTGAGACATCTCTATCTCTTTGACTTGATTCAAAAGTGCTAATTTAAAACACTTACATTTTTTTGTTGATCAATTAGACACTTAAAAATATTGAAAATGATATTTGTACATGTTGACTTATACGCCATTTTACGCCAAATGTATTTTTTTTTATCTTCCTCTTAGTAAAAGGAATGGTATGCGCTGATCCAATTTTAGACTGAAATTTAGATAACATAATTTATACTTAATGAAGAGCATGCTACTAAAATTTCATTAAAAAATCTACTGAAACTGTCTCAAATAATGACGGTAAGACGACTAAACAGAGTCTTTTTCCACACTATTGGATCAGATTACTCATCTTATTAAGATTAAAAAAAGGTCCTACGTCATACAATTATACATTATGTATGAATAAATGTTGAAATCACTCAATAAAACATTGACAAATTGCTCAATATATGATGGATCATATGGAAATTGTGGACGACCCTTGGTATAGGCGGAAAAAATAGTTGAAATTCGAAAGGGGAATTCTAAACACAACCCATTTTTTACTAAGTACAGTCTCTTTATAATATTCGTTTCAAAAAAACTGATTAATTTTACAAATTTATCCTCCCTGAAGTGCTTTCTTCTTCAGCCCTAGTGAATTAAAATTTCTGTATAACCTTTTCACATATGTAATTGAGCCTACTAACGAGTTCTTTGTCGAGATGGCCATCAGTGTACCACGGACCGCCGGTGAGTTCTGCTGAAGGTTCAAACCCATCAACTATAAAGATCTTTCAAGATCTGCTCTTTATGTTCTTGACCGGTTTTATGAGGTTCTTCATCGAGTTGAGTTTTATGAGGTTCAAATCTCATCGGAAGGATAAGCAACAGCGGCCGTCAAGCACTAGAGAGGACGAGAGAGTGCTTCTGCCCCTAGCACAGCAGGGTCGGCATATGGCCGTCGGAATCACAAGAAACAGAAACATCAACCGCCTCCGCCGCAAGAGCTTTGCAATATGAGGAACTTTGCCACTAGGTTCGCCACCAACAAACATGGGCGGTCGTTGTGGCTTGTATACGTAGTTAGCGATGCGATTAAAGATTGGACTCCTCGTTGTCAATCAAAGCCAGTGATTTGTCACAGTAGATGGAAGCTTTGATTCTTTCTTCACGTCAACCAACCAATTCCAGAGAGTTTTCTTACTTTTAATCAAATTGAGGACCACACTTTCCCTGCATCCATCAAAGGATGAGAAGGTGATGCTCCTTCTGGTTTTCTCCTCTTCATTTCTTGTCTACTACGGAAGTACGGCTGGTAGACCAGAGAGCCTGAGATTGCCGACTAGCAATGACGCAGCCGAGAAGGCAGGCAAACGCATGTGGAGGGAGACAGTGGAATGGTGGACAGAGAGTGGGCGCTCGGTCCGCCGGAACTTTTCTTCTTCGCTCTACCTTCTCTGGCTCAATGAAAACACCGTTGAGATAAATGGGTACAATATACAAATATAATAGACATTAAATTAATTAGGAGCTATGAATAGCAATTTTTACAACTTAATTAATATGGTTTAAATCTTAGCTCTCAAGGTTCAACTATAAATTAAATTAGAACTACGGAGAAATATTTAACCTAGAACGAAGAAGAACGTTGAAGATTTCTATTATATTCAACAATTTGATAATATTCATTTTTATATTTTCACATAAACTTAGTAAATTAAAGATGATATTTATCACATGCGTCATCGTTTTGCCATACTTTTTCTTAGTTATGTTGCACTTATTTGTGTTTGTGAAATTTAGTACCACATATGCAATCTCTTGTATTTATATCAACATTTCATGTGAGTTGGTTGATGTGATGATATCTACTAATTGCAAGATTTGTTCAAATTTTTAACATGTGTTTGGCATTGTACCGTACCGTTTCGTACCATTCCAAAACGCCATGGTACCGAACGGTTCTATTCTTAGGACCGTACCGGACCGTTAAAAACCTCACGGATACATTACAGGTTTTACCAATTTACCGGACCGTTCCGTACCACACCCACCCCTAGAATCACCCATTCTAAAAACGTAAAGTAATGTCAATTGAATGAAAAAATAGCCCAAAATCAAGAAGCCCTGTCCAAATTTAATGATCTGCCATCCACTCCATAGTCCATAGTAAGGCTGATCCGCTGATCAATCAGAAAAACTAGGAAAATCATCCAAGTTTGGAATAATCCAAAATTTAGCCAACTAGAACATCAAATTTTAGAATAATCCTAATTCAATGATCATTCATTGAATAATAGACATGAAAAGCCTTTGTTTGTACTTCTCAATAGTCAATAACATCCACAGCAAATGAACCAAAACCACGCAGAAAGTAATGAAGTTTTTAAGGCTATGCAACCACACAGCACGTCAGCACTTGCTTAAAAAAATCTAGAAGACATTATAAAAATCTAGAAAGTGTACACAGATAGTACACTTTTCCTAGAACCTCTGCTCTTCCCATTATAAAAAGAAAATCATTTTGATTTTGCAGTTAACTGTGAGAAGTGGTCTGCTGCTTTATTATCAATTTAATGTCAGCTCCGATTTCAGCCATCTTCGTGTCCATAGACGCTTTTGCCGCTTTTGCAATGTTTCCAACATCCAAATCCAATGCTATCCTCCCGACAACGCCCTCAAACATCTGTAATATTAACAGAATTGCTTTTATTTATCTAGGATAATATGGAGAACACGATTATCTCTTAATTAGATTAGATGATGAGGATGATAAAAACAAGTGTCTTTTTAGACTTACTAATGATCCGATTGCGACCAGAGCTCGGAATTTTGAATCAGCATCAATACTTTCCTCTTCTGCAATCTTTATTTGGACATCCAAATGTTTAAATATAGGTATAGAGATAAAGAGAGAAGACATATTTATGCTATGGGTGGGGGGGCACAGAAAACTTTAAAATTTTGTTAGTGTTGCTTTTAGAAAGCCCCTTGGTTAGCTAAAAATAAGATTAATTGAAAACCCGTACTGAAATGTATTTTAAAACAAAAATTGTTTCGTTATTTGCAAAAGTTAATACTATTCATGAATTAAGCTATTTTACAACTATTCATGTTTAATACTACCTCCGTCCCAAAAAGATCGATACATTTTGACTTTTCTTGGTCAATGGTGGTAAAGTTTAGACAATGATTTTAGGTATTATATTTGTTTGTAATTTATAAATTTTATACTTTTATGTATGATTTTTTAAAAAAGAATATGTTCATATAATTTTCATATTTTAAATAATTTTGTATTAAAAGATATCATTGGTCAAACTTAACCATCATTGACCAAGAAAAGTCAAAATGTATCAATCTTTTTGGGACGGAGGGAGGTATGATACTTTTATGATTACTTTTTCATCCCAAATTAGCTTCCCATTTATTTTATGAAAAACATTTATTTTTTGTTTTTGGTTAATTGATTAATCATACGAAGATTTTGGTTGATCGAGAATCAATTAACCAAAGTCATGGTAAGGTAAATAAAAAGGGAAGCGCGGTGCACGAAGGCACCCCACAAGGTGATGGTCCGAGAAAGGGTCCCACCACAAGGGAGTGTAAGGCGCAAGCATTCCCGTCATTTTTTTTCTATAGGCGGCCCCCAAAACTTGAACCCATGACATTTTGATCACACATCAACATCTTAACCGGTGTGCCAATGCTCCCCCTTTCAGCCATGGTAAGGTCAATCAGCAATGTTTGGTGTACACATTATTTGTACAAGTGTCACATATTTTGTCTGTATTACAGACGTTTAGTAAAGCAACTTCTGTATTTTTTTAGACAAATTGCCCCCGATACAGACAAAAAGTATGGGGCGTGTACAGAAAAACGTGTACACATGGCATCTTCCAAACAACAATAGCTTAGGTTAGTGAGGAACACAGCAAGGAATTGGGTCTGCAAGCTACAACCAGCCAAGAAACATCAGAGTAAAATATGAGATTTACCTCGAGAGCTGCTGAAAGAACTTGGGATTGACCTTCCTCATCCTTCTTTTCAATCAAAAGAACAGCATAGCTAAAAAAACCACAAAATTAATTAATGAAAATCAACATAGGGTGATTAAGTAAGTTTAGCCAACAAACAACATAAATCGTTATAAGCTATGTAGATAAGAACTTTAAAAAGTATATATAGATTTCACACAACTTACTTGAGTATCATTGTTGAATAAGATAGTTGCACGTTTTTATTTGAGGTTAGATAACACTTGGAGAAAGCATTTAAAATCTGCACACACAAATACACAAAAATGAAGTGATCACAACAACAGAAGGAGATGTTAATTCAAGAAACACAAAAAATAATGTTAATCCAACTCATGATTTTTTTATTAATCCAACTCATGAAAGATAAAGAAATGTTATAGCACAAAAAAAAAAAACTTGCTTAAAATGAAAGTGCACAATAAAGTTGACCAAAGATAATACTATTCGAAGAAATGGCATTGAGTATGTTCTTAGCATCGGTATACATCATTCACTTGAGGGCTTAAATCAGCAAAGTAGCAGACATGCATGGAGAATTAATGAAAGTGGAATTATACAATGGCATGACATTGAAACTGATACCAATTTTGAATTTCCATCACAGAGCATTCAGTATTCAAAGAAGGATTGCAACCTCTCCACGGTGTTTTAGTAACCAATCATAAAAGATTGAGTTCTTGAAGAGATTAGTCACGGCACGAATGCTTGTTAGGAGATTTGCAGGAATGGGATTCACGGTCACCTTCTTGAGCAACTCGAAAAGTGTATCTGGTGAATTAAAAAATAACTAATCAATTAACATAACATCTTTAAAAAATTGAAGAGCAGGAAGGAAGGTTATTCATAGAACAAGTGCACCGTTAACAAAGATTAGAGAGAATGATAGTTGATGTACATGGTTACACAATGATAGCAATGATCTTAAGCAAGTTTCTAAGAAAATCTATTCAAATGATCACCAATGATAGCAATTAGCTGATACCATTATCAATGTTGA